CCCCCCGCCCGGCCCCACCGCCAGCCGCCGCGCTCTCACTTCAGCCCGGCCTTTTTCAAGTCCTCTGGCAGAACACGGCCCTTCTTCCGGGCCCTGGCTTTCTTCTTCTCTATCTTCTCCTTCTTCTTCTTCTGAATGTTCTTGCGACGCTTCTCCTGCCGCTGTTGCATCTTTTCCACCACCTTTTCTGTCCGCTTCTCCCACTGCCGTTGGCGCTGCGCTTTACGCTTCTCCTTACGCTTCAGAGCTTCTTTCAGCCGCTCCTCGTTGTCGCGAATCTTCACGCCTTCCGCCTTGTAGAGAGCATTTGTCCATTTCATCTTCTTCTCTAGTTCCTGAGCTTTCTCCTGGTCCTTATCTTTGAGTTCCTCCAGCTTGTTCTTCCTGGTCTCCAGCCTGCCCAGCAGCTGCTTGTAGTTTTTGCCCGTCAGAGGAGTGATATTGCCTTTCACTGCTTTCCTCTTCTCTTTCTTCTTCTGGATCTTGTTCAACTCATTCTCTTCGTGGACCTGGACTCTGTTAAAGACAATCCCAGCTGTGCTCTCCTCCTTTTTGCTTTCTGGCTCTACCGGTACCTCCTCAGTTTCTTTCTTCTCCATTTTTGCCTTCATCTTCAACTCTTTTCTTCGTCGCTTCTTTCTCTCTCTCTCGTACTTCCTTCGCTGCCTCTTCTCCAGGACTGCAGGGGATAATTCTTTGGCATCATCCTAAGAAGAAGGATGGACACGAATCAGGAGCCTTAAAGGGATACAGCAGAACTACAAGCGGGATGTCCTCTAGTTCCCGATTTCAAACTCCTCCTAAGAAATGCACTGCTTGTTGCAAGAAGCTGAGGGCTCAGCTTTCAGAGATATAAGACCCAACAAAGGCATTGCAAACCCGTTACTCTCTCCCAACACCCCACAGCAATGTTCCCTTTCAGGCTTTTAGTGCTTTTCTTTTTCCTAAAAATCACCGGAGGCACGCGCTCCTCCAAGCCAGGCCCCACCTCTTCTCACGCGCTGCTCCAGAGCACAGGACACACACAGCTCTCCCGGCAACACCGACAGGCGCTTCCTCAGGAGACGCAATGAGCTCAAACCCTGAGCCCTGTAAGATCCTGGCCTTGTTCGCACATCCGCTGGGAGGCTAGGGAGAATTTACACAGCACAAACACACATTTGGATACACATTAAGAGCTCTCATACTTGTCCAGAAGCTTTTTTAATCTTCTCATGTAGTCTTTGACGCAAGAGATTCATCGCGGAAAAAGAAAGCGAGCCCAGGTCACTTTTGCTCCCTGAAAATGAGAGGAAGAAAATAAAAACACTTAAAAGACAGCACTAGCTAAACACAACAACTTTCTATGGCTACAGAAAAAGCTCCAAGAGCTCTTTCGATGCTGTGAATAGAATCTTTAGAATCTTCTAGAATTCTTTAGAATTCCCCCTTTTCTACCCATATTATCACTCAACACTGCCAGCCAGAGCGGCCTGGCATGCCCTGCAGCTGCCTAACAGGCCAGAAGACACGTGCCAAGCTAGCGGAAACGAAGATGCCAAGGACATCTTTTCATCATGATCAGGATTTTCAGATTCACGATGAAAAGCTGGCCCGGCATGACAGAGATGGCTCCCACACAACAGTCCCCAGAAGTTACTCAAATACATCAAAAGCCTGCGATTCAGACTAAACGCTCCTGTTTCCAGAGAGCCACCCAGAGGTGATGTCACAAACATACGTACGTATGCACAAAATTTTAGGGCACATGGAATAAGCGAAGATGTTTTCAATTCAGCTGAACTTCTCAAAGGTTCTCCAAACGATACAGGTGTGAAGCAACTGGCAAGCAGCCACCTCAGCCCAGGGAACTTCAACCAGACCGTGGCACCGCTGGTATCCTCACCTGTAACCAAACTCTCATTTCTGCTCTGGGTCACACCCTGAGGAGATGATTTGCTGGCCTGAGGGGCTGCTTTCTGTCCTGGAGTAGGTTTGTTGGTGCCAGAGACCGCCTGTTTGACTGAAGGAGCCTTTGTCTTGCTGGCTTGCTTCCTGAGCTTCTTCCTCTTCTTCTTGAGCTGCCTACCAGCATCCTCGGGCTGGCCTGGCTTAGACACTGGAAGACAAATTACACAAAAGGGGACAACGTTACGTTCCCACTTCATAAAATTCAATTATTACCAGAGACTAAAGCTCCAGCATTGCAACGGCCTATCCCAATCCCCAGAAATTTCACAGTTTAGGATTCATTTAAGCAGAGCCCAACAGGCTCGCACACCTCAGCGCAGCCCCAGTTCTCCCACAACCCCGTCATGACGCGTACGCAGG